ACCCGTGTTCAAGAAGGGTGATCCATAGGGAGTGGTGTAATTATGGGAGCATTACCTTATTGAACCTGCGTAAAGAAATAAAACAATGGTAAAGTAATCGTAAAGTCTACTCAAAAGTGCATGAAAGGAGGTACGGCCGTTTCGTGGCCGATCGATAGTCGTTATCAATATGCAGACCCCTGACGCAAGTTTGAACATATGTGTGGACTGTGATCACGTAAATCAACTGTAATATTCAAACCACCACGTCACATACCAATGAAAGGTTCCCGTGAGCACAATGTGGAACGCCTGTGAAACGAATGATTATGTTGTACATTGCACATAAAACTTTGCTATATAAATAAAGTTACCTTGTTTATCACCAAGTTGTTCATACATGAAAATTCGACTTTAAACGAAACCATATTCACAAATTTAAATTTTGTGAAATAATTGGGCAGCTCAATTATCCGTTAAAGCTGAACTTTGGAAAGAAACAATGAATAAAGATGTTCCCGCATGTCGTAATGTCTTTGCGCAGTTATAACACGGAATCAAGATGCAAAACATGAAAATTAGCAATTTCATAATTTTGCAATGAATTCGTACTGTGCAGTATAATAATATAAGTCGCAAAGGCCATCGAGTTAGGCATAGCAATTTTGTACAGAACATAGTGACTAACTTAGGGAATTGAAGTTGAGCAGAATTAATGAGCCAGCGGAATTCCACCATCATGACACAAAACTGCAATTCACTAATTTGACATATTTAGTATTGTGCTCACTGAGAGATATTCAAGACTATGTAAATAGTGAATATCTACTGATAGACAGTCAAACTCGCGCCCATTCATTCAGATTCAGCAGTTTGACAAAAGTTTCACATTGTGCTCACCAGAGCTTCTCAGAGATGTGTAATACGGTGCGCTGAATATAAGAGTTGATAGAGATGATCACACAGTAATTTTGTCGATTAAAACTCGCGCCACCACACGACTACATCGACTATCGATCGCCGTCGAATCGTTTCATCGTTTACGGGCTATCCAATCACCATATGCTTAAAGCATGGGCAAATGGCGTGAAGTCAGCGAATTTCAACATTGGCACTAGTTTCCGCCAAGGCCGCATCATGTCCTCTCTCCCGTTTGTGTTCTCCATTGATAGAATAGACAGGAGCAACCAAGGCGATGAGTATATCGGCGTAGGAGGTGTGAAGATGAGAAGGTTGCTGTTTGCGGACGACTTTGTTTTATTGGCATCTTCTGAAACTGATATACAGTGATCTCTAGAAAGGTCTGAAGCCGCGTGCGGCGTGACCGGCATGCGTGTGAACGCACCTAAAACGTGCTTGGTCGTTCT